AGTTGTAAGTTGAAATTCAGGAAGACTGGAAAGGGACTTTAACTCAAAATTTAACGGTTGGAAAATTTAAGATAGTCCTTACACAGAAATTAACCTGGAAAGTTTCTTTTTGATCTGGGATCCTAATGGTTTCCCTGTGGATATTTATAGCTGTGACGTCAGATGAAATATTTTTATAGAATTACATATGCGTTTGTTTTTTTTGGGAGAAATAATCCCCAGTATGTTTTTCTAAAGCATATAAGTTAATTCCCTGTTTATTACTTGAGTGAACCTTTAAAAGATCAATGTTTTTCAAATGGCAAGAAAATTTCTAACAGTTCTAGAGGCTCTTGAATATATGAATCCTTTTTCCATTGAAGAAATCGATGAGTCTGAAATAATAATTATTATCCCTGAATCTGATTACGTTAGGGATGAAAAACAGATAGGTAAAGCTGCCACAAACTGTAACATATCAGTAACATGTGGAGAAGCTGAAATAGAAGATACCGCAGGAACATATTTTATCAAAAAGCTATGAAGAACGTAATTTTGGTGTAAAAGCACCTAAATGGAAAAAAAAACGGGAACCACAATTTATGCTTTAACGAAGCTGTATTCCTTTTCAAGACTATCAAAATATTCTAAATGTGGTGTCAGGAAAACCTCCAGCTGAACGTTTTTACACGATGACTGTTGATATGATATCACTAGTTAACTAACCAGTATGTAAAAGAAGCAAATAATCATTCTTTTAGTGTTATTGAAACTGAAATTAAGCAATTTCTAGGTGTCTTATTTTACAGTGGATATCGTAGGAAGCACAGGATATTATAAAATTTCGAAGATTTTATACCAGGATTTACTTAGGCGAGGCAGTACTTAGCCACAGCATTAGGCAACGCGGTTCGATGCAAAATAATAAAGAGCTCCTCTGTCTCGGCAAGCGAGCACGTATGGATAAAAAATCGCGAGGAAAGCCAGAGATGATGGGAGTTTTTTTAAAAAAAAAGTGAAAACCTATAACAATTTATAAATTACGCAATATTTGACGTTGTATTGACTGTTTTCCCATATTTCATTTCTAATCGCCTCTTAAGTAAGCATAACTTTTGTAAAATTTAGTAGTGTATTAGACCGTTGTCCTATTAATAGGACAGCCTGTAACTTAATAAAATACAAACAATATCTGAAAATTTTTGATTCACATGTGCTACTAGCTCACATTATTGATAGCTCTGAAGTGTTACATTTTTCAGGCGGAAATGTTTTAGAGTGGTCCAATATAGGTTAAGCAGGTATCCCTTTAGTTTTACGAATACTTTCCTATGCGCTGTACTTTCCTATCTCCAAAGCCACATGCGCGCAACTTCAGTCATTTATGAAAAGGAAAATGTCCACAGCGAGATCCATGTTAGCAGACATTGAGCTAGGCCTTGCCAAACATCCTTTTCTGAAAGGACAATACTTTAATCGGATGTTCTTTGTCCTTTTTTTTTAATTTAGAAAAATGCTAAATGTACTTTATTTCAAAACAAAAAATCTGTTGCAGCTGAATGAGATCATTTGGCGTAATTTTAACACCTGGCACATAGAGGTGCCCAATTCCCAATTGGCTGCGATTGGTGACGTGGTTCTCCCTATATAGTAGCCGAATGATTCGTTAGTTCCGAAATATTTCCATATGAAGAGAAATGCTTTATCTTTCAAGTTCATCAAAATGAAAAAAATAGATAATGCAGATTCTCAAAACATTATCGACGACTTTAAATTGTTTCTGTCTTCAGTAATAATTTATTTAAAAGAATATTTTGATTAAAATTCTACATTTGGCAAATTTTAAATTTTAAGTGTATTAAATAATTTATTTGTAACATACCAGAAATTTTGTTAGTGTTATTGAAAATTCGAAGCTAAAAGAAAAGCTGTATTTAAATATGGATGACCTTACTGATAAAGTAACATTAATACAAAAAACAAAAGTTGACTCTCTTCGAAGTTCTTGCATGCAAGAAAATCCAAAATAGCAAATGAGGTATGATTTTAGAGAGTGTTGATTATAAATGTATGAACACTTATAAAATAGTTTCGCATTTATTTCAAGTCCTACAATATCAGCATATACTGCAAGAACTTTTAGTGTCATAGCAATTAAGGTATTCAGTTGAACTTACGAGAAATAAATTATTTATATATTTTAATTAGGAAGAAAGTTGTTCATAATTTGCCTCCGAAATAAAAAGGAATGCATAACTCTCAAATCTGCCAAATATTAGAATAAGTGTAATTTTAAGAACTAAAATTACACTTATTCATTTTTCAGTTTTTATTCAGATTTTCAGATTTCAATTTTTAAGTATTCTTTAAATTTTTCCACAAATTTTAATCAACATTTTTAAACTGAATTTGGACGATTATTCTATTAATTAGTGTTTAATAAGTCGATACATTGTTAATTCAACTAAAGTAATTTTAAAATTTTCTTTCGAAGTTTTAAGAAATTCTTCGTTCACATGAACATTAATTCTAAAATTGTGCTTCAATAATTTGCAATAATAAAGAAAAGGGATAAAGATATTTTGCAGGGTTCTTCATTGCAACTCTAAAGAGGTGACAAGCATACAATCATCAGATCATTACATTACCTTCATTCTTTGTTCTAAAAATCGATTGTGCGAGCAGCATTCTCGAAATATCCGAAAAGTGCCTGGTGTCGGGAATGAAACAATGCATGTCCATTTACTAACCAGATTTCCGTAGATCCCTGAAAGAGCTGTTCCTTAAGGTTGCGTTCACACGTTGGTATAAATGTCATACCTGGTTTAAGCCGGACTTCGTTACTGCGTAACTAGACCTTGCACATGATGAAAACTGGTTTAGGGCTTTGGGCATAAAGTTCGAAGTTTCCAACTTTATTCACAGTTGTTACAAAAGTCAACCAATCAGAGCGTGCATGGGAAGCCTATTGAGCGGAAAAACTGTAGACACATCCACGCATCCGAAAATTTAGCTTCGCTTAATTGGCTAAGGCTTAGGCCTTGTCTCGCAGGTGTGAAAGAAACTCTTGCATGTTATGCCCTATGACTAAGCCTCTATGACATCTATACGATTTGTCTAAGGCATTTATATATATATACACCTAAAAGGAGCCTAAAGAACTTTATGTTCCTTAAAGAACTATAGTATTAGGTCAAATTTTACGTATATAATCAGTTTTTAAGTACATCATTTAAATATGAATGTTTCTAAAGGACTTAAAGAATCATATATTTCTTAAAGAATGAAACATTTTAAAGAACTTCAGTATTAGATAAGATTTTGAATACATCATGAAGCATGACCTTTCTCTTGCTGCCCGCAGTCATAGTCCATTTTAAATACATCATGAAGCATGGCCTTTCTCTTGCAACCCACAGTCTTCTATACTAAGGACAATTTGGTGTACATAAAACTCTGAGTTTGACATGCCTTGTGTGGGAAGTCACAAGACTCATCACCACATATTGTGGTCTTTCAAAACATAACTGTTACTTCAAAATAGAGTTTAAAATAAGCCTGCTTTTTGTAACTTGACAAGCTGCTACAACTACAAAATAAAATCACCACTGCTTGAGGGATTTAAGCTAACCAAAAACTAAGTAATCAAAGTATGCTAGAAGAAGGTCAGCATTTATTGCCAAAAAATTCTCCCTTAAATTAAAGAACTCTTTTTTTTAATGTACGTTAAACTAATTTACATCATGTTGGAAGCCGACGAAAGTAGAAGTGACAGTAAAAGTTAAAACAATAAGATAAATTGTTCATAAATATAAAAACCTAATAAAATAACACTCGATTGCCAGGATATTTACTTCCAAAGTATTCATTTCGAAAATAAAACTAAAGTCAGGTCTGAGAATTAGTGAAATTTGAGAACATCGGTCACTCTACAGTGCTTATGTTACATAACAAATGCTTATGCTATAGAATAATATACTGGTTAAAGTAATATTTGAAAATAATTTAGAACAAATAAAAATTGAAACGAAAATTAAAACTTTTAAAAAGTATAATTTTGTTTCAATTTTATCAAAAGTTATATTTAACAAACACTTTTTTGAAAAAAATGTTTTGAAAATTTTATTTAAAGATATTTTTTTCATATGCAGATAAGTGACCATTTCTTCGGAAATCAGAGTTGACATTCCTGTTATAAATATTATATTAACTTATCAGTAGTATTTAAATTTTAGTATTATAACTTTAGTGGTATTCATAGTATTTACTATTAAATGTAATTATATTCAACATTCAAATAAAGAAATTGTATCTAAAAGCTAAATTAAATCTAGATATATAAATTGCAACTGAAAATATCCTGTTTCTCATTTCTGCTGCCTATATTTTTCTAATATATATATAAGAAAAGCTAACTGTAAAATAGAATAAAACGAGAAATTCATAAGTATTACAGTAATATTTAATTAGTTTTACATTAATTATGTTCATTAGTGTTTTAATAATATTTCTGTGGGATATATTCCTAATACTTTTTATTCTAAGTAAATATTCTACTGCTACTGAAGCATCTAGTAAAATTTAGTAATCCTGAACAATTTACGTCTGGTTTTCATTGTAAATATTACTTAAATAAGAATAAATTATATAAAATGACTTTATCGTTTTAGGTGCAATGGGATATATGGTATACATGGATGAGAACGGAGATGCAGAAGGAAATTACACTCTGATTGCCAGAAAGCCATTTCCTGGAATTCAAGGAGAATATGGACTGTATCCTGTGGGAGTGTTCCAGCTGCACGAAAACCGCTCAGCCATGCCTGTAAATAAAAGGAATTTTCATTATAGACACAGCCACAATTTATGCAAAGAGCCCATACGTAATTCTAACCTGCCATGCATAAATGAAGAAGGCTCTAGGAACGTATTGGGATGCACGTCTAATACCTGAAGGAAATGAGGAAATGAGGTGCACCCGTTGAACTCTTAAGAGATTAAATGATCCCGCTTGTTTTCCGAAAATGAAATAATATATTACTGAAGCGGAATAAAGCAATTAGTCCAAACGCATGACAGCAATAAATGAACTTAGCACACACATCTTATACCTGATGGTCAGTCTCATGGCATATATGTGCTAAGCTCACAAATGCCGTGAGACCGGCTTCTGTCTGTAGTGGCTTGGGTTTACTGTGATATGCTGGCTCATGCATGCTGTGATTTAGGTGTATTGGTATAACATAAAAAATAATTCCTTAAATGCGTCTTATACTTTCAGAATTAAAAATGATGTTTCACAAGCTGAAGAAGATTCGTTTATCAACTTGAGCAACGGAAATTTAGACTAGAATTCAAGAATGCACAAATCGTGCGTTATATAGCCTTCTAACCAATTTTACGATATCCATTAATTCAGTTGCTTTTATTATTCACGGAACAAACAGCAGAATCAAATCCAGCGAGAGTTTGTATTATTATTTGATGTAGTGAATATTTTCGCTGAATGTTAATAGCAAGCTTTTGCTGTATTGTGCTATTATATAGAGTTCGGAAAATATTGTTATTTCGATTTTTGGTAAAGTTGGGTACATTTCTTTGCATATTTCTCAGTTTGCTCAACCCCTATATCACATTTATTGTACTTAATGCCTACAAGAGTTTTTGTCTCTTTCAGTACATTATTTTTAATAATCTTGAAATATTAGGGAAAGTACTTTTACTTTTATTAGTACTCGGATGATTTTACATTAGTTATCGTTGGCATACCTACATCAAAATGAGCTTTACGTGCAATATACATTAACTTTTCTGATATAACTTTTCAGACTATGTATGAATATAAATTTAGACAAAAGCTATTTTTATAGGGATAGTGGTATTTTAAGGATAACTACGGTTTGATTCTTAACAGTATTTTATTCATGAAGCGACATTTTCTGAATAATATTTAGTATGTCCGCTTTATAATCTCTGTGGTGACGAAAATAATGCAGAGAAACCTATTGCAGAGTAATTATTAATTTTGAAGGGCAGTATTATCTGTTATGTGTAAGTAACATAGGACTGCAAGCACTTCACTTTGATGTAACTTATTTCGGAAAGGCAGTTATTTATTAATTATACATGCTTAATAGGCACGGGTATAGGTATGAGTAAGAGTATGGGGGAATACCAGCGACGTACCATGCGTTAACTGGCAATGCCTTCCCGTACTAAAAAGGAAGAAAAAAGAAATAAATATAAATAAATAAATAAATGTAAATTTTTTTACTAGTTTACGAAGAACCATTGAGGAAAAAGCAACTGAAGCTTTCCAGAGGATCTAGAGTTTACATTTTATGGACATCTTGCAATCCCACGTACACCCCGCATCCAGTAATTATTCATAATAATGATTTAGGACATACAGAGATTACAAAATATTTCAATACAATTTGAATTTCACAAATTAAATTTAACATCTGTTTTAGTGCTACAAAAATAAGAGATAAACATAATAAGTAACAGATAAATATAGTAAGTACTGGGAACACAAAGTGAAAATGAACTGTAATAATACTACTAAAGAGGTGTCTACCAGGTTTATTACAATTTATTAAGTTGAAAAATTGATTCCTTTTGAACATATTCACAAGAAGTAAAAGATTATTAAATTTTTGCAGTATGAGAATTTACATTAGACAAAGGTATAAGCCCTAAGACGAGAGTGGTTGCATAATTTTTTAACCTTTATCTTTAATTAGAAACCTTTGGAATAGCAGAAAATCAGTTTGTTGGGATTTTATGTGATTATCCTCACTTAAAGGGCATAAGAAAGTGTAATGATCTGGAGTTTCCTGTCCCCCATATATGCAGATATTGGAGTTCGCCACCTTCCTTGTGTAGGAATATGTGAGGAAGGATATGCGCCCTGTTATATAGTAATTTCACGAAGGATTAGAGTACAGAGATGCGCAGCATACATTGAGAATCAAGTTATAATTGCGTCTTCCCTGCGAAGCATTATTCCACAAATCTTGTCAATATTTTGAAGAAAGTTGTGTTAGTTGGTACTTTAAATTTCAGCAAGCCCATGAAAGGATGATTTCAATACTATCTTTATTAAGAGGTGCTTCTTTGACTAATTCATCTGCCTGATCATTACCAAAATGACCACTATGTCCTTTGATCCATGAAATTTGAATTTTGTAGTTTAAAATTAAAGCAAGAGGAGATTTATGTTGGAAATCAATGGAGAGGAAGGTAAAGGACTCTGAATCGTTAAAGTAGCTGCTTAGGAGTCAGATTTTATGGTAAATTCGTTGAGTTTTCTAAGAATGGCTATTTCAATATCTGTTTTTATGGCCGACAATTCCGCTTGGAATACACTATGATTATTATGGGAATGACCTTTCCATTTGATGATATTTGAAGGGGCAATTAAAACTAGACTTCTGAACTAAATTTTCTTTCAATTTTTGATCCATAACCATATGCAATAGCAGATGAATTTGACATGAGTTTTCGTCAGACATGGGGAATTTTATTATGCCTAAGCGAAGCGCTGGGTGAATAAGATTAGGATTAATTTTCTTTTCATAGTTGGAGGGCAGAAAGCTTTGGTTGCTAAATTCTGCAGCTTGGGTAAGCTGAAGGTTTTTCATGTAGGTGCTTTCGATTTCTTCACTGACTGATAGTGGAAGAGTACGAGCTAAAGTATCAAGAGATATGCTGTGCGATACGCCAGAGTAATGCAAAGGGTGAAAGCCCTCTGAATAGAATTTTAACATTTAATCTTTCTCACTGACCATGTTTGTGCCCAACGTCCATTTTTGATATAACTGTTTGTGTATTTACCATTTTTGATATAAATGTTTTAGAAGAATCCCTGTTATATGGAGATTTAAGCCTCAGTTATATCCATGCATATGTCGTAGGCAGTTAGCAACTGACGTTGCACGAAGTTTGATATTTTATAGATGAGGAATCTAGGCGAATTTCTTGTCTATTGTTAACCCAAGGTACTTGACTGTATTCAAAGACTGGATCTTTTGACTATCAGGTTTTAGAACTAAAGTTTTAGCTATGTTTTACCCTGGTTTATGGATTACTACGCCTTGCGATTTAAGATGTGAGATTTGCATGTTTTGAATTTCGCTGTGTTGGTTAAATATCTGAAGTGTTTCATTACAATTATCCTGTGAAATATTTCTGGACGACCAATTGTAATAGAAGCAATGTCGTCTGCAAAACGACAATAAGTGGTTTAGCCATAGATTGGCAATGATGTTGTTGAAACTGTTATTTCAGAGATCTGCAGTGAAAGCCATAGCAGTTTCTAATCTGACAATTTAGTGAAAACTTCGAAGTAAACGAGATTCAGAATGAATTTATCTTTGTTAGGAGTAGCTGATGGGCTTGAGCAGGTCAATGTTGCTCTTCCCTCCCAGAAATGTTCGAGCATATAACCTCACTGTTTTCACTGTGAGTCTACTCCTAGGCTGTTTTAAAGCAACTATTCCCTTGGGAAACTAAATTGTGTTTCCGATTTTCCTACTAAGATATTAATATTTTCTCGAGCATCAATTGAAGTTGTTGAACTCGAATATTGAGAAGAACATAGCCTTCGACTGAACTTGGAGCAACCTTTTTTTTCTAAATTGGCGTTTATTCTTTGTAGTTCGAGTAATTTAAAAAGCGACATTAAAAACAAAGTAGATAATCAACCTTTATTGTAAAAATTTATTTCACTTCCTTCTCCTGACATTCAATGTATTTATGTGATTAGCTTAATAAACCAAATTTTAGCAGCAGAAACAATCGAGATCGCTCATAATAGTTAATCGAGAACCCTAATATTTCAAAAGAAACTTGAGTTAAATTCCAGTGTAGGATTATTGCTCTATAAAGATATCAGTTCACTCTAAGGTCTGTATACACAGGCATTGGCTTATTGGTAGTGCAAGACTCAACACTCAATGCCATGATTCAGTGCATAAGCATGGTAACTGAATATCTTAAAATAAAGTTTGGAAGCGGTGCCAACTATATATCTTTACAGTAGATTATTGTTAACGTAGTTATAATGGATGCTTGATGAATTAATGGAGATGAATGTAGATCGTGCCAGTAGCTTTAATGCATTTGAGGTGTTATACAGATATGCTTGAATATTCCTTAGCATTTTGTAGAATTTTGCTTAAAATTCTCAGTTTTGAATTGATAAGGAATGTTGAGTTTACTTATAATTTTTTCTTGTGTATTTCATTCAATGATGCTTCTTCTTTTTCATATCTTCCCGAAGATAATTTCAGCTTAAACTTGTAATAATCTTGGATAATATTTGGATCCGTCTGATGTATGAAGAAATTAGTTTCATTTTCTACTGTCACCATGTACAGTTACCAAATGTAATCTAATAAAATGCGCTTCATGTAATCGAAATCACTGCTTTTAACTAAGATTTTGTAGTTTCATACTGATCTTTTGCAGGATGATTCTTAAAATATAATTTTTATTTGAAACAGTCAGCGATACTGATCTATAAACAATTCGAAATATCACAAAATCTGCTAAGGCTGGTTTTTTATAGAATAATACTGAGTGGCTTATGAATTTTTCCTAAAATTTCACTTTACAGAATGTACAATAATCAATTAGATATCTGAGGCAATGGCTATATGTCCATCTTTTTGCAACTCGAAAGACATTAAGTTCTACGTATAAATCCAAGAGATTTATCAAGGACATTTGTGTCCTTTTTATAAATAAGTTAATGATATAACGCACTATATAAAAACACATCTATATTAATCTCTTGTTTTTGAGTAGATTTCTGCTTCGAAGCATATTATTCTATGAATTAAGTTCATGAAGTTTTAGAAACAGAAATACGCGGTATAATTTCTTGCATTATGTTATTTAATGATAGTTCGGAAAATTATTATTATATTTAATATTAAAGATTTCTCCTACCTTGTCTTATTAAGATATTACTGGTGTTCTGAATACTAAATATCATATTTTTTGCAGACAGTAATTTCAATAGAAATGTTCTTTTCGTGGTTGGCATTTTCGAACTTTCTGCAGAATGTTCCCATTAAGATCAGTTGCGCTTTAGTGAAGGATGCATCTCCTGAAATTGCAAATACAAACTCATTAATAATGATCAAGAGAAATTTAGTAATATGTATCTATAATAACATATTTGCGTAGGAACACTTTTTTGATAAATTAATCAGTTTTGTTTCCTTATTTTGCTTCTTTTTGTCAGAATTTGCTATTTTCTCTCAACAAGCAAACGATTTCGAGTTTTACGGAGGTGAGAATAGATGAGTGAATAAGGGAAGCATTTTGATTCTAAAATGGTGCTCTGCAAATTAAGTGTCCAGTCAAATTTCGCAAACGGATATTAAAAAAGTAATAATTGCTAAATAAAAATAACACGAGATAATTTTCAGGTTTCAAAATAGCTTATTTAATTAACAATATAAATTAAAATGCATAATTTATTCTCTTATAATTATCTAACATTAAACCATAAAGGAAGTTTAAAATTTAAATCAGCACTTTCTTAAATTTGCTGTTTATTCTTATGCTTTAACAATGATATAAGTGATGAATTATAAATCAGGTTTATACAAATTATGAAATTAGATTGAAGTAAAATTAATGTCATGTTTTTCTTTCTCTTTTTTTCTTTTCGAGGGTTTCTGTAATGACAGCATTACGTTTTCTATGGAAAAAGAATTGAAATCTTTACCAAAATAATTCAGGTTTTAAAATCCACTTTTAATATCAAAAGTCAAATTGCCGGCAACTGTATTTTAAAGATTCTATAATAGATAGAGATTTTAAAGATTTATGAATTTTTTTTACTGGTGTTTGCGAGTATCTCATGAAAGATATGAGCTTATGTGAGTCTTGTCTGGGTTTGACTTACTAATTGAAACATGCATAAATATTGCATGCAATACTTTTATAAACTTTCATATTCTATTATGATTAGATTCGCCACTATATATTCTGTCATACAATAAGAAAACATTTTCTTAGCTATATTCTTCACCTTAAAAAGAGCTAAAAGACATGAATATTCGAAAGACTAATTGTAATTTTCTTCATTGATAACTACTACTAACTGTAGTATGAAGTTGTAAAGGAAGTATTTTTGGAATAAATTAATAATGTATTGCGTGAAATACTAAAGTTTTAAAGGAAATTTTAGTTTCGAAAAGATAATTACCGATTTCATATATTCCATTTTAGCGCTATTGAGAAGATATTAATAATTTATGCTTTGCTTCAAGATTATTGTTGTTTAAGTCACATCATAACAACTATCGTATATTTTAGTGAGGGAAATTTAAATTTCAAGGAACATTTATTTTAATGATATTTGTTGAAATTACTACAGACCTTCAAATTTTTCATAGAGTCAATTTGCGATTTACCGGGCGTGAAATAATAAGGCCCTATCTTAAAATTTTCTTCATAGCAAAAGGAGGAAAAATTTGCTATTAAAAATCAGCAAAGTAAAACAAAAATAACTACGAAAAAGACAACGTGCAGAAGATTGCATTAGTGATAGAAATTTAAGTTATAGTATGTGGGAGTCATTTTTATACACAACAATGGGTAACTTGTTAATGCGTTATCCAAAATTTATAAACATTACTACAGGCAATAGTCTTCTCTTTCATACTGATTCCCATCGAAATGAAAGAGTGACGTAAACAAAAATAAACAACAGGTGCGCATGAAGTGAGGAAGAAACATGGAGAAAAGGAAGAAAGATCATCGATCTTAAGAGAAAACTTTGCCAAAAAAAAAAAAAAAAAAAAAAAAAAAAACATTTTAAGCGATTCTTTTACGCGATTTTGAACTCGTTGATATTGCTCTTGTTTTGTTGTAAATATAGTTCTTAAATTTCATTTGCAAATAAGTTTTTTTAAATATATTTCTAACTGTGTTTATTTTTCCGTTATTTTTAAACTGTCCTTTTTATTAGCCCAAAAGAGTTAGCCTCAAAATATTTTGCTTTGATTCGCTTTAAATGTCCACTGTCAATGCGTTGTGTCACTTTTCATTCGAGTCTGTTGCCATCTGAGAAAATGCAAGGTATTATCTTTCAGATTTCAACAGACTAAGCTATTTCAGAGCAACAGATGCAATTCTTAAGAATATTATTTTTTAACTTTTTTAATCTGAGTGATTTAAATAAAAATATCTATATTGCATGCTATAACTAATTAAAACAGTCAATATTTTTATAGAATTATGTTATACATTCATTCATTTTTTAAATATACATAAGATATAACTTTCGCATGTTAATATAAATGTATATTAATCTAATGTGTGGCTTATAAAATGCTTCGCTGTTTCACACGGTCCATCTCTATTGATAATCTCTACCGATTAAATGTATTAAATTATAAAAGAGCGCTTTGGGGTGGCTGTTAAAATGTCAACGCTTTAATTACTTTTTTTCTATTTTTTAAGGCCTGAGGTTCCTGTTAGCCTCGATCCTCACTTTCCGGTCCGCATCTCTTTGGTATTCGTTTCACTTTTAAAATCGCTGCCATCAAATATTATCTTAATGTATTATTTTTGAAGAAATAATACAGGGAATATAAAAAGAATGTGTGTTCACACTTAACACTATATCGGGAATTCTAAAGGTATACTTTTTTAAAAAATTTTGTGATTTTGCTGTTAAATTTTAAATACTGTAAATGCGAAGAACATTAAAAAATGAAAAAGACAGCAAATGTTGCATTAGGAGCGAAGAGAGCAGATCGGTAAAATGCGAGCTCGGCGACAGCTTAGAAAAACTTATAACACCCTCTGATACGATGTTAAATTCAGAATCTTTCAGATTTTCCTTTTGATCCCCGCTTTCTTTTTTAAAACAAATATTTATTTAATTTGCGCAAACAGTTGAACATATTGTCTCGATAAACTTTTTGAAAGCATGGGGAAATTATTATGAATATCCTTCTGTTAATTACTATCTGGATTATTTTCCTTTCCACAATTTAACTGTTCTCGGAATAAATGTGATTTTGAATTAACCATAGATATCCTCCGAATGTTTTACCCCGGTTACTCGAAAGTCGACTGCATTTTAATTTCAGAATTATGTGAAACTGATCATTAAAAAAGATTTTTCGCTAATTTGCATCAATAAAATTTTGTCAGTTATTGCATCTGACTCTATTAAAGGAGCTAGATAATACAAGTGTAATAAATTATCTTGCATTACCTAGCTAATATTCTCTTTAGGAGTCAGACTGCACACTTAGCCGGTGAGACTTTCGTGCATAGGATAGCTTGAGAAGAAACATGAATGACCGATTTATTAATCAATTGATTACCAACAATGGTCAATTTTTTAATTATCAGAATGGATTCTTACGGGAAATGGTGAAATGCAGTTGTACTTTTTTTTATAATTCTTTTTATTATTATTAATATGCATTCACTTAGGCATACAAGTCGAGAAATTCATTAAAGCACCATTTTGAAGAATAACTTATGATTAAATTTTTCCTAAAATTGTTTCCCTATAGTAATTTTGCTAAAGCATTCCAAGATTAATCATGATATTTATTTTAAAAGTATAGATGAAATCATAATCTGGAGATATAACTTCGGTATTTTAATTCCTTTGAAAGTTAATCACAGTATGCATTCTTTGCATGTGTATCCACAAAATTATTATTGTTATGGTTACTAAGCTGATATTTGGCAACTAAAAATTTGAAATAAAATAAGGAAACCATTTATAAAATGATTTTATGTCAAAGACTACATTATGCGCTTTCTGTTAGCCTTTTTGGATAAGCTGGGATAGGTGGATATCTTGTATAACTATTTTAGCAGGTGAAAAAATGACGTCATAAACAGTTTTAAATTTGCTTCAGAATTAATTACATGCGTAGTATAAAATAGCTTTTTTTATTTCGCAAAATATACTTGATAGTTATGCAACGAATCATATCCACGTGGATAGTGTATATTCAGATCAAAATTATTTCCTTCGGTAATGGCATGAACAGATTTCAGTAGATTTTGTACATTAGACTTAACAGTAATTTTGTCTCTATTAAACATGCCGACTTTTTAATATCAGTTCCGCGTCAATTTTCCTGCTATTTAGTTTTGTACCTCCAATACTTGCTTAAATAAAATTCCTGGCAATATCTTAATACTAATACTTCTGAAAAGAACATTAATTAATGTACGTGACTGTCAATTTTTAAACGCATATTCCTATCATTCACGGTAACAGCTCTTTCATTTACAGTAACAACTCCTATTCATAGTAATAGCACCATCTTATTCAAAAGAATTTCAGATTTAGTTCGGTACATACATTTGCTTATATTTGGTCATACTTGATTATTTATCTTTTCGAAACTGTCTTGTTAAGAACTTTCAGAACTTTCATAATGACCTAGTATACTTTCTTAATACAATCTGATTTAAGACGCTTTATTTTGTCTCAGGTTCTCCAAGTTCTGACAGACATTGATTGGGTTGGAAGAAGTCCACCAAGTGATGAACCGCCTTGCGGCTTTCATGGAGAGAAATGTGTCAGTGAGTACAGAAAACTCTGCTCTTATAATGATAAATGGAAAAATAAAAGCATGAATATTTTGAATCAAACATAATTGTATACCCACAAGTAGATTGAAGTGTGATTTTAGCTATTTATTCCAAATTTTATCTATAAAATTTGTGCATTATGAATACGAATAGTTTTAGTATGTAAAAGTATTGTTTAAAAAATAAAAATATTTTGTTCATTAAGTTGTTTATAAAGGCAAACAAGTATAGAATTTTACACATAAACTGAATTTTACACATAATATGGAATTTTACACATAAACACATACGTTAAATTAAACCAGAGATACCAAAATTAAAAATAAAGTTAAATGCAAAAGAAATATGCATAACATTAGGATAAATTAAGACATCAAAACAAATGTATTCAATAATGTAAAGTAAATGTAAATAAATACTAAATGGTACAAAATAAGTAAGCAGTAAATATACTTGTATAAGCAAATATCTATAAAATTATACAGTATAATTAAAAAAGAAACAGCAAATGCTAAATAGAAATGCATATAATATTCTAAAACATTATTTCGAATGTTCTCGTCTTTTAATTTGAGATTGTACGCTTTTGATTAAATGAATGGAAGAAATGAGAGTAAAAGAAATCTGAAGGCAAAATATGCTTGTAACATTTTTCTATACGGAATTAGTTTAGATGTTTATTAACTAGAATCTTCAGTAACGCTATAAGGTATTTCTCCCGCCTTCTTAGCAGGCCTTCGTAGTGTAGTGGTCAGCACGCTCTGGGCGCATATTCCAGAGGTCCGTGGTTCGATTCCCGGCGAAGGCGTTGCTAATTTTTTACTCTCTCCGGCTTCCAAAAAATACCTAATGTCTCTACAGTGGCGCCCGAACTGAAAGGGTTCTGGCTGATGATTCTCCACACCCAGGATTTGGGTCCCCTAAAAACCCCAGTCGCCCTTTAAAAGGGGGAGTATATAAGGTATTTCTTCCGATTTCTACGCATGCCATCGTGGTGGGGTGGACTGCACTGGGCGCGTATTCTAGAGGTCCGTGGTTCGATTCCTGGCGAAGGTGTTGCTCAGTTTTCCTGTCTTCGGCTTCCAAAAAATGTCTAATGTCTCTACAACGCATTTAAAATTCAGCATCCTTTTTCTAATATCAAATCAGATTCTATGCAGACAGATGAGCAAACCGAAGCGGAAGAAAATCTGATAATAGTAAGGAACATATACCTCTGATTATTTTCACTTTTATTACAGAAGCGAAGAAAAAGGCTTAACAGTTGAAATCTGGGCCAAATGTACCGATCTTTCACGCTGAGTCATGGCGTAGAATGTTGAATTTACAACTGGACGTTTTGCTGAAATGTGGATATATTATCGAGGCCATATCTCAATAAAAGGTTTTCCATATATCGCAAAGTCAATCGCCAAATCCTGGGTGTGGATAATCATCAGCCAGAACCCTTTCAGTTCGGGCGCCACTGTAGAGACATTAGGTATTTTTTGGAAGCCGGAGAGAGTAAAAAATGAGCAACGCCTTCGCCGGGAATCGAACCACGGACCTCTAATAATATAACTAAATCGCGCAAAATGATCATGCATTTTATATTTACACGATGCATTAAAAATTATCATTTGTTATCATCACTTGAAAAAATTCGAAAGATTTAAATATTAAAAATGGACACTGCTTTGAAAAACTGAAATATTCAATCCTTTATGTTCGTAGACTTGGATTATAATGTATTTATATCTATTGGTTCATATAATATGTAGTAGGTATATGACTCGAAAGAATACAAGTAGCATAATATGTAAATTAATGTCTGTATTTAATTCTGAAGCTCCAAGAAAACAGTGAAAATCTGTATTCCTTATGATGAGCCAGAAGGCTTCGCAAATATGTGTCTCATTTCTTTAGACTATTTCTGAATTATCAAACTGATTTCAGCATTTAATACAGAAAGAAAAGCCACGAATCCTAAACGCCTTCCATCGGAGAACTTTTCTTAGAAAAGTTTTTCTTTCTGTTTTGCGAGTCTTTCAAGAAAAAATTATATATTTAAAATATTTAAAAAAATGAATATAAGTTTCTTTCAAACAAAAATTTAAAAGAAACACGGAAAATTTAATGTTATGATATTAGAAAAAAATAATAATTAATTTATTCTCTTCTTAGTATGTATATCTTTTGTTGTGAGAAGTCTGGGTACAACGATGTTGATGGTGCTGCCTCTTTCTATCCTCAGCTTCTTAGTTAAAAGACTGTTTTAACTAAGAAGTTAAAACCCATCAAACTTCTAAGAAGTTAAAACCACCAAACTTCTTAGTTAAAACCCATCGTAATAGCCTAGGATTAGTCTCAGTGTTTTTATGCAAGAACACAAAGAGATTATGATCAGCCTGAATGATGAATTTATGAGGTCCATCTAGGGAGAATTTTAACTATTGTATGACAAAGGCAGCATACTCTCTCTTCATCGTACTGTTACTTCTGTTCAGTGGATAAAAATGTTTTGCTACGAAACATTATTATATGTTCTTCGACATTAGCATTTATCTGCGACAATACAACGGGAATACCAATATTTGAAGCATCGCGCTGAACGATAAATGGCTGATAAAAGTTCAGAATGTGTAAGAACTTGTTCCGTTAATCATTTCCATAACTTTCTGCATTTTCCGTTAACCGTTTCTTGAATTCCCCAAAAGCTCTTTTGGCAATCATTAGTTGCATCAGTCGTCCAGTTTTATGGTTGGTTTGCAACATTTGCCTTTTAGCAGATCTGTTAGTGATGCAGGAATCACACAAAAATTTGGATATACCTTCGATAATATCCCGCAAGCATATAAGCATTCTGTACCGCGCCACGCACATAAGAAAAAAATCCGTTCTTGTGGTTGGATTTGGCTTCCGATGACATCATTTTGCCGACGCTTAGGAACGTCTTCACTTTTCTTGGGCTCGGGAGCACACCTCTATACCCTTTGTTTACATTTTGATAGCAATATCGAAAAGATTATTACTTGCGTTGTATTTTTGTTGCTATGACATTTACACTTCTTGTAACACTGCAGCGTGGTGAATTTAATATAAAAAATGTAGCTGTTTTTGTTGCCTAGAGAGAAAGTATTACTTTTATTTATTATGTGCTATCTCCGTAAATGTGTATTAGTTGCAGAGAATTTTAATAAATGTATCCTTATTTTAAAATCGTTCATATTAAAGCTGTTGTGTTTATTAATTAATTATTCCATGTTTATTATATATCCATTCTGTACAGGTATAATCTCCGAAAGCATGAGAAAAGTCAGTTTTCGGGAATAGCAAAAACGATGTTGGGAGATAGCATAGTGCACAGTAAATTCACAATATTTATAATTGGTTCGAAAAAGTAAAATTTACTTTTGAAGTTGGACTAATATAGATTTGAAAACAGAGAAATAGGAATACGTATTTTAAATTGAATAATATTACTTTATGAATATTGTCCATTTTTTAATGTGTAACATCTTTAATACCTTTGCATAAAAATAGTGTTTGTCAGAGAAGGGAATTTCTTTTCTTATACACGTGTATTAAATTTAGTGACAATACTGAAAGCACTTTTTTCTTTCATTTAAGGCAACGTAATGTTAGAAATGTGAAAGTTATGGACATTAACATGGAAATAACATAAGCTTTGGAAAAGGAAATATTTTCAGCAATGTGAAAGGAACAGAATAGCCATAGCAGTAATAATATAATTACTAGCACACAATGCCTTTACGGTTGGATCGAGATCGTCGTGGTTTGGTTTACGCATTAAATTCATGAACTCGCCTATTTATATAACATATGCGCTTAAGGTTCCTTCTGATTTTAACAGCATCTTTGGAAGATTTTATAATTATATTATTCCATGAAACAGGATGCCATATGCAGAAAGCTGCAGTTAAATGTTTTCGCTTCAAAGGAAAAAAAAAAAAAAAAACTATAATTTCACGCTTCTGTGTCACTCATGTGCGTCATTCAACGAAAGAAAAGCCTTAAGAATCGCACCTAAAAGTCATTACGCTAAGAGAAAATGTTGTCATTGGAAAGTATGTCCAGTCACAAGTACGAATTTTACCCTATGCGCATGGTGCGGTACAGAATGCTTATATGCATCCCGCAAGTCTTAAGAATGATCTGACCTGTGTTTTCGTAGTAGGTCTAGGGAAGTCTTTTATAGCTTAGACTTACTCCCTCCGGCCGCCCAGACGGCATAGAGGTTAGAGGAGCCTACTGCGGTACCGAAGGGCCCGGATTCGAATCCCGGAGAAGGCATGGATATTTGTAAATGTGTAGTGTCTTTACGGCATGGGGGCACTCTAAGTATATGGCCAGCTGAACGTCCTCTCGTGTGGACTGGTGTTAGGGGAGAGGGGTGGGAGATCCTCGGACCACCTCTTGGGGTGCTTTTCCTCAAAAGTAGGGTGGAAATAGACGTCCAACCTCACTGAGGCTCTAGCAAACTTTCTGCCATGAAATTCATGGACAAGACAACAGCAACACCTTACTTCTCCTAGTTTTCCTTGACTTTAACCTACTATATGATCTAGATACTTCATGCTTGTTTGACCACATCGACATTTAGATAGCTTAATACCCAGTTAAGCAACTTCTAAATCTTCTATGAGATAAGTTCTAGGTATTTCAAATTTCAAATATGTTCTCAGATTTGCAATAATACTTGGGTATCGTCAATATACGGTAAAGCTAATCCTCACAATTTCCTAATATTTCTGACATCAAACGAATTCAGTTATTTGGAGCACTTTTTTTTAGCCCGAACGGTAACATTAAGTGTTTGAAAGTGAAAAAAACCTTGTCATAAAACCAATATAATCCTCTTCTTTTAAAATTAAAATTAAATTTCAAAATATAAATGTCCTCGACAAATTTCAGTTCAGTGATACAATCAAATAGAGCAGATGATATAGTTTAGCTTCGATTTTGAAACGAAGCATTCTGCGCAATTTCTC